TCCAGTTCAGTCTGTCTCTCTTTGGCTCACTGTTTGTCTTAGGTACTGGCTCTATTTTCCCCTTTTCCTTTTTTTCCCCTTCTTGCAATCTCCCTATCACCCCCCCCCCCCCCTCTCCCTCTCTCTCTCTCATCCCCATAGATGAGCAATATTTGGGAGTTTGAGTACTAGGTGTAAATTTACCAGATGAAGACATAACTGACCACCCCTCCGTGTAGGGAGTTGATGGAGTGTGCTTGCTCTTTGAGAGCTCTGAAGTTGTGTGTGTGTGAGAGAGAGAGAGAGTGTTGGATGGGCTAACGTGCACTCGCACACTAACTCCATACAACAATGATAAATATGCCTCCTGATCACTTGATTGATTACCTCTCTCAAAGGTCACGCGGGCTTGCAGTAATTTCCTTTTGCCCGAGGCTTCCTTTTCACTTTTACTCCATCTAAGGACAGCTCGATGTGATCAAGATAACCCCCCCCCCCACCACCCCACCACCACCACCACCACCACCATCCCCCTCCACCACACCACCTCCCCTCACTTTCTCTCGATGAAACCTTACGAAAATATCCCTCCTCTAAAAAGGCAAGAGATTTAATTTGTTCAGGTCGCCTCCTGCAGAACCTCTCCAAGCCCACGCTTGCTTCGTGTAATGTAAAGGTATATAGAATAGAAACTGCTGGCAAACCTGGCCGCACTTGGCGTCTCCTGGGTCTCAAACTGCATGTTCTCCCCTGGACAGGATTTGGATTTGAACCGTCGGACAAGCTATTAATTTACCCCGACTACCCAGAGTCATGAACCCAATTAATTTCTAATAATTACAGCCCAAGGGGCTCTACATATCTCTGCCACTCTCTTACCTCTGCCACTTAATGCCACGGAGGTCGGCATATAATAAGTGTGTGTGTTTTTTTTAAAAAAAAGTGTTATTAAGAACGCTGAGTTATGGCAATGGAAGGAGAAACAGTTTCCATTTAGACTAATTGAGGCTTGTGAAGCGAGCCCGAGCCCGTGCCTTCAAATGAGAGACTTGTTTAATCTCCCATCCCCTTGCCTTTGGTCAGAGAGAGCCCAGTTTAATTTTTAAACGGCTCGCTTTAAATCAGCCCCTGAATAAACAGTATATAATTGCATTACAGTGATTAAATTAATCTACTGGTAGTTAAGGGAATCTTGATTTTTTTTTCTATTGTACCCCTTCTCTTGGAATTGAATGGAATGATATAAAGTTCACTGAACATGCACAATGGAGGAGGCAGAAACTGCGGATAGCTCGTCCAACAAACACGTAATTGTTTGACAATAAGAGAGGCAACGAAAAAAAAATTCCTTCCCTTTTTTTAAAAAAAAATCTATTTTTTTTTATTAAAAAAAAAGATACCGGAGGGCGAGAGGGGTCGCGGTGTTTAAAATGAACGCTTTCTCCCCGACTCGTTCCGGCGCGGCTGATGTATACACACGTTCGGGCTACATGTCATGGAATGCAAACTCCATTTTTATTGTGGTGGAATTTCATTCCAATGTAATATACACATAAAATAGCAACAGGAAAAAATATCATACACACCGCAAGGCCAAGTGGCAACACTGTACGTGTGTGGGTGTGTGCGTGGGTGTGTGTGTGTGTATATATATATAACGGAGGAGGCGTTGGAGGGTTAAAACTGGGTGTCAAACTTGTCTATAGGTCCCACAATAGGGTAAATACAAAAACAAAGTCTAAATAACAGATCAATCACATCGTTGATACATTATAATAATCGGAATTCGAATGAAACGGATGCGGCATGTCAAGAAAATAAATAAGAATATAACAGTATTAAGCGGGTGACCTTAAAAACCGATCACAAGGATTGATAATAGTCAATTAAAGTAATATTGTACCAGCAACGAGACGTATTAGCACACAAAAAAGCGCTGGTAGCGAGCACTAGGAAATATTAATAACCATAATGCGATTAATAGCCACGAGTAACAATGGAATTGCAATGAATCCTAAAAGTACTAATGTAATCAATGCAAGAAACATTGGGAAAGTGATGTTACAATGAATCCAATGAGTATTAAAATTAATAATATGATTAATAAGGCCAATGAGAAATATGATATTAGTGTGTGTAAAGAATAATGCAAGCAGAACACCGCCGATGGGTGACCGACTGATGACCAATAAGTAATTTGTTTCCTTGAACCTAAGACTATTAATACTTTACTGGAGCACTATTGCTCCCTGTAACCGAGTTATTGATACGGTCGAAGTTGCTTTTATCTCATGATCGCATCTCTTCCACCAGACCTTAAACGAAGCGGACAATCTTAATTAAAGCGGACAATCTTAATTAAAGCGGATAGTCTTAATTAAAGCGGAACAAATTCTAATTCCACACAATATTTTGGCATAACTGCCACAACCCCCAACCCCAAATCATTATAGCAATGTGCCAGTTTGATTTCAAATATATATATATATAAATATTTTGAAAGAAGTGAGCCTATTTTGTCAATCTCAATGCCACCCCCACAAGAAAATTTAAATAATAATATTTAAGTGGGGGCAATGAATCACTTAGGGCAGCGCCAATTGGTTTCTGTACAGTTCACATAAAATGAATAGAATCGGAACGAACTCGAGAGCCTCGGCTGTGTAAATCTAAGCATTTTCCCCACTCTGTTCGCCTCCCTGCGCCTGGTCTGTATTCCAACTTATCGATGCTGTGAATGAATATTTCTCAGCCCTGACTCAGAAGGAAAGGCTAAAGTGTTTGTCAATCACATCACAGTCTCGGAAAAGCCTGGGCATTGGTGTTTTACACTCGATTCGAAATTTTTCTTTTTTTCAAAAAAAAAGGTAAACCTGAGGTCGTGAAACGGTTACTTTTATGTATTGACCGAATAAAATTGGGAGAAGTGTGGTGGCTGTTTGGGGGCATATGTGCGTGTGTGTGTGTGTTTGTGTGTGTGTGTGTGTTAGCTTGTGTTTCTGCAAATGGTGTACAAACTGGCAAAAAAAAAGGATGGCTAATTTAAACCTATCGTTCAGTGACTGGTTTAATTTTCATATCGGGAAATAAAGCCATGTTGAGAGGAGGCGCAGTTATTTTGCTTTCGGTATAGCAGGCGACACCGGGTCAGCGAGCGAGCAACAGGGACATCTCCACATTGCCACGGACCCTTTTCCCAAGATGCGAAATTCCAAATGACTTTTTTTAATTTTTTTAAAAAAAAAGTTAGTAGTTCTGGTCGATTTTGTTTGTGGTCGCAATCTGAGCCAGAGAGAGAGAGAGAGAGAGAGAGGGAGGGAGGGGAAGAGAGAGTGAGAGAGTCGCTCAATGTCAATGATGTACTGCATCAGGAAGTTTAAAATAAACTGTTATTGTAAATAATCGATTGGAATATTTTAGGAACGAAATTGCCTCCCCCAAATAAGGAAAACAAATCTAATTTCTGGGGTGCATGGTGACGGGATAGAAAGACGAATGTCTTTGAAACGCACAAATGGTTCGGTCTATTCTGAGAGCGAGAAAAAAAATCGATTTCATTTTGGTTTTCTTTTTAAAAAAAACACTTTCTGTGAATCAATATTGTGAGTATCAACTGGAGTCGGAAGTGCCATTTGCCACACAGCTAAATACAAAAGGAAACCGGTTTAATCCCATTCAATTGAAGTTAAGAAATACTTTCCAAAGTAGTTTAGACACTTGATGCCCGGGTATTTTCTTAACAGTTTCCTCCAGAATGACCACTGGCTGCAGTCCAGTATTAGAGCTAATAATAAACTCTAATAAATCAGGAGAACTGATAGTAAATGAAACCCAGAGCTGGTGCAGGGGTTAGGGCTGGGATTTATATCATTTGCAACCGAAATTTACGCAAACTCACAAATCTGGGGAAATAATTCCAAACGAAGGATTTCCATTCCGAAGATTTTCACGTTTGCCATATTCCACCCACGGCAACAGCGCTCAAACACCCCCTCTGCCCTCCATCCCGTACTGTGTGCAATGTTTATTTCACCACAATTCGAGCGAGTTCGCGTCTGTGTGTGTTTGTGTGTGTGTGTTTGTGAGTGTAGTAGTTTACGGTGAAATAGATGACTGATTTTTTTTTAAAAAAAAGAAAGACAGAGAGAGAAAGCAAGAGAGAGAGAGAGAGAGAGAAACATTCCACTCATTTACACCCTCAGACGTAATGTTCTTCCAATCCATTCCATACGCTGTCACCTCTTAAAATATTAACTAAAATATTTGAAATATTATTAAACATTTCAGGGGGGGGGTTGTTTCTGGCACAAGCATCATTTTAGCACTAATGTACCCACACACATACTATATATATATGTGTGTGTATATATATAATATACATATATGACTGCCTGCGTGTCAAACTAGTAATAACATGCAACTAGGGATTCAATGCAATAATAATAATAATAATAATAATGCAATCATATTAAATAGTGGGAGAAAACTCATGACCCTGAAAAGTGCAGTCATATTAGTCCCAGGTTCTATTAAGGCAGTCTGTGGGCTGTCTTGCACATCGTTGTTGTTGTTGTTGTTGTTGTTATTATTATTATTATTTGGTATCGTCACTGGGGGGGGGGGGGGGGACAGTCGCGGGGCATGTGGTGGATCCTCGGGCGGAGGCTATAAAGCGTGTTGCCGGCTGCTGGAGGGGGTTTGCAGTGCCCTTTCCTGACACGTCCTGACACCATCTCGGGGCAAAAAAAAAGTGATCCATTTGCTGCTGTAACTTTTTTTTGTGTTGGCGGCGCGGCAGCGATGCAGTCAGTGCGCATGTGCGAAGGTGTCCAAACTGACAATACGGGAGAGATAGCGAGTCCGGATAGAGAGAAAGAGAGAGAGAGAGAGAGAGACTGTATGAGAGAGAGAGAGACTGAGAGAGAGAGCGAGACTGAGTGAGTGAGAGAGAGAGAGAGAGACAGAGAGAGACACAGAGAGAAAAAGGAAGAGAAGGTAAGAGAGAGAGAGAGAGAGAGAGGGAGAGAAAGAAAGAAAGAAAGAAAGAAAGAGAGAGAGAGAGAAAGACATCCGTGATTCACAGACTCCCCATCAGCGCCGGACACAGACCACCATGAGATCCAAAGGCAGAGCTCGGAAACTGGCCACAAGTAGGTGCAACACCCCATCCCATTTCTCTGTCACTTTCCCTTCTCTGCCATTTTGTATCACTTTGTTGTTGTTGTGTGTCCGTCCGTCCGTCCGATCCGCGTCTGGTCTCACCATCTACAGACCTGCTGAAGCCATGATCGCTCCCTTTCCGTTTGACCCCCTCCCCCCCCCCCCCCCCTCCACACCACCCACCCACCCACACACAAACACACAACACCCCCCCCACCCACCCCACACACCCCCTCTCACCCTACACCCCCTCCCACACCAACCCCCCCCCACCATCCACACACACACACACACCTCCCCAACGCTGGACACTCACTGACTGCTCAATCTCATCCCGAGTCAGCTGTTGGGACTGGGATTGGGCAGATCTGCTTCACTCTCTCTCTCCCTCTCTCTGTCTCACACACACTCTCACTCTCTCTCTCTCTCTCTCTCTCTTGCCTTTCGGCTATAACAACTGCCATCCGGAGAAAGGGACAGTTGTTTTCCACGAACTTCGCTCTTGGGGTGGTGGGGAGGGGGCAAAGACGCTGGGGAAAAAAAAATGTGTGTCCAGAATAATCTGTCAATGAAGTTCGTAAAGTTGAGAGTGAGAGGGAGTGTGTGTGTGTGTGTGAGAGAGAGAGAGAGAGGGGAGAGATGGGAACTTTATGAAACAGGGTCCCCTGTTGGAAGAGTTTTTTGGGTTTGCAAACAGTGGGCGCTGTTGCCCGCGCTCCAAGGCACCTTCAAACTTCAGGCTCTGCAAACAGAGCAGCAAAGCAAAGCAGGTGAATGAATATGCGTGCGTCTGGCAACTAATCTGACCAGAAGCAAAGTGGCCCGTGACTGACCCAGGTAACTGTGAGGGAGGGAGTCAGACTCACCAACAAGGGAAGATCGGCTCCCTTTAACACCTGTGTGCGTGTGTGTGTGTGTGTATGTGTGGTGCGTGTGTCTCTCTCTCTCTACTAAGATTTCCCATGTACCAAACCCCCAGCCCCTAATGCTTTAAACCCGCCTCACTTAATAATAATAATTTTTCAAATCCGTCCTGATATCCTTTCCACCCGGACTGATGTGTTTGTGATAGTCTGATAAAGTCTGTGTGGTTACATAACTCATAGAAATCCACTTCTATTTGAAGTCGGCCTCTCCTTTTCCACTGCCGACAAACGTTCTCGTTTCTTTTCAGTGCACTTTTGACAATCTTTCGGTTGACAATGCAACATGAAAAAGGGAGGGGGGGGGGGGGGGAGAAATATCTGTCGAATAAATTCTATTTATATTTTAATATGTTTAAGTGAGGGTACACCAGTCAAATGTGTGGGATGAGCGTCCAGAGAAGTAAAAAAAAACAGAAACACAGTGTCAGATCCCCCCAAAAAAACTGGCAGTCATTATTAGCATTATCAGCCTCTCCGCAAAGGATTTGGATTTTTCCAGTAAATACTTAAACAGGCAATTTCCAACGCGTTTAGACTTTACACCAATAAAGCTTTGTAGTTTGTGTTTCCGGCGCACGGGGGCTGCAAGAGGACACACCGATTGTGCAATGCCTAACTTCTTAAGTCATATAAAAAAATATATAAGTTCTCTGTTATTCAGCAGTTTACACGAAAGATGTAAACACGGTGGAAGTGTGCAGGACTGAGCGTTGCAATGGGAGATGGGGGGTTGGGGGGGGGGCGGTATATATTTTTAAAAGAACTCCAGTCTTAGTGGTTTTGTCGTGTCGGGTTTTGTCTAATTGTTACAGAGGCACTGGTCTGTCATTGGCAACTCACTGTCTCTCTCTCTTTCCCATTTCTGACTTACATGTTGGGGAAAAAGAGAGAGCAGTCCCAACTTTATACTAAAACTACACTTTTGCACTGGACAGGATTAAAAATTTATGGCGAGTCCCCCCCTCCCTCCCTCCCCCCCCCACCACCATCCACCTCCTCACAATAGAGTTTCACACGAACAAGTGAATTAATAAAGACTTGTGTTATAAGGATGCTTTAAGCCTGGAGAAAATCACTGCAGATTCAGCCTGTCTCGCAAACCCGGGTACCTATTCTGCCAGAAATGTTACACGGACCGTGTTTGAGGCACTTTTATGTCCAGATCCCACTTTTATCAACAATATCGCTATTTCTCGCCTGTGTTTGTGGTATCACTGAGCCCTGTTGCCTGTAGCCGCTTCGGCCTTGGCATTCATATACCTGATTATTTTCCATTCACTTTCGCATCGTTCTTTTTCAGAAAACCTGTGATATATAACAGTGAAAAATACACAGGTACCTCTCCCTGCCTCCCGCATGATAAGAATATCGATTTTTTTTAAAAAAAATTCAGACGACAGCTAGCTAATAAAATCTAAACATTAGTTTTCTTGGCCTCAAGTTGAATTTAATACCACAGTTAAAAGCCCTTTCTCTCCCAAAGTCATCCATCCAATTGTCCATTTCCAATTCCCTCTTAAAAACGAAACCAATTCTCTGACCTGTTCCCTTTTCAACCGAGTTCTCCATCCACTATTATTAAAGGAGTTCAAAATCAGTTTGAAGAGATTGTTGTTTTATTACATTGTGTTGAGTTTTAGTGAGAATAGAGTCGACATGTCTACAGCGGGGATAAGTGGGAATCGCTCAGAATATATTGTAATTTAACAAGGTAAAATACAACTGCGAGCATCGTCTCTCATGTCCTTTATATATATATAAATAAAAACAAATCGGGTGTAAATTGGAGACTGAGAGAGAAATGTTTGAGTGCATTTTACCTCCTCCTTTCTCACACCGAGAGTTTTATTCAAGGCAGGAAGAGCGGAACACGAGAAGATGAGTCAAAAATATTTATTAGTTTTTTTTGAAAAAAAACTTTGCGACTCAGTAACAAGGTTTGTTACTCAGTACTACATTTGTGGGATATATAAAAAAAGAGTCGGGACTTGCTGACTGTCCGTTACTTTGTAAGAGTCCTGGGAAAGATGCAAAAGATTCAGAATAATCTCCATCCGACTCGCTGACCAATGCACCGCATATGTTAGATCATTTTAAGGCTATTTTGCAAACTTTCACCTCCAAATCTCCCCTTTTGTGGCGGAGCTTTTGATCGCATTTGTTTGATCGGCAAGCAGTTATTGGACCGTCCTTAAATGAATGTTTGCATTTATATATTTTTACGAAAGCCCTGCGGTGTTCGGCATGTGCCACTGGGTTACCTAACGGTTGTGAGCAAGAAACAGCTCTATATCCTTCCCTTTGCAACCAGTGCATACTCCCCCCCCCCACATAGAAGTTTAATTTCCAAATAAAGGATTTCCTAAACCGCTTCACCCTTTGGTGTGAATGTTCAGCAATATGCAACACCTCACCTGGTCCGAAGTGCGACCAGGGTTCAATAGGTTTTTTGATGATCAAAGCTGGAAAGAAAATACCTTATTACAGCATCTGGTTGGATGTCGTTAAATGGTGCAAGGCTAGTTTGTAACACGGGGGGTTACAGTGACTTGAATGCAGTGTTGACTGTAAACACAAATGCACGCAAGCCGTCCCCGCTTTATTTATACAATTTCTGCATTTCTGACTGCCATCCATTAGCGGCAACCAGTCCTCTTCTGTTTGGCTCTAAAACAAGCTCACGCTTCTCAGAAGCTTTTTTTTTCTCTTGAAACTTCTGCCTCTGTCATTTACATTAGCCTAAATGTTTCCACTTCAAAGTATTCCACATCAATAGCCGCGTGTTTGTGCGTGTGTGTGTTTTGTTTAAAGACTAAACTCATCTTTTTGTGGCTCTTAAGCTTTATCCATCGGGTGAAATGTTTAAGAAAGTATATATATATATATATATATAGAGAGAGAGAGAGAGAGAGACTGTGTTGAAGTTATTCTCTTCACTGGATCTTACTCTGGCTCTTTTTTTCTCCCTGTCCTTGTGGCTGTCTGTTATTATCTTTATATTTCTTGTTTTCTGTCTCTCTCCCTCTTTCTGCTTTTATCTGCCTCGCGATCTGTTTCTCTATTTCTCTCTCTTTTTTCTCCCCCCCACCCTTTAACTTTCTTTTGCCTCACTGTCGGCTCTGTCTCTCCTTTTTGCCACCAACAGAAGTTATATGTCTGTCTTATCTCTCGTTGGGACTCTTTCTCTCTTTCACCCCCTTTATGTGTGTGTGTGTGTGTGTGTCTATCTATGTCAGTTTCACCCTCTGTGTCTGTCTCGGTGAAGTGCACTGGTTGCTGTCTGTATATTAGGTCACTTTCCCTCATTGTGCTCCAGGCCATGAGTTGATTTCACATTCACTTTCCACTCCACTTCCCCCTCCCCACCACCACCACCCACCTCTCACACATACTTCCCACCTCAATTTGCACTCTTGGTCACTCCAGCCACCTTTACCTCTGCGGCGGGCGTGAGGAGAGCGGCGAGATCGTGGGGGCGAGACCAAGTCACAGTTTTAAGCATTATATTAGGCGCCCCATAATACCCAAATTACAACCCCCTAAAATGTAAGCAACGGTCATTGAAATGCATTGCGCTCAGATTACAGCGTTAAAAAGAAACAACGCTCATATGTTTGAATGCTGGGGAAAAGGATGGAGGCGAGTGGATCTGGTAGAGTGGAAGTGGACCCGGTTATTATACAAGAGCCCGGGTTTATTATGTAATAGCCAGAGAGGCGTAAAACATTGGTAACTAACTCGACCTTGTATCATAGATGAAGCTGTCGTGTCATAACGTTTGTGGGTTTAAAAACTGTTTTTAATAGGGAGAGTGGGAGGCTGGAGAAAGCAGGCTTTCGGATGAAATCAATGTTTCGAGATATGCTGGCGAGGGTGGGTGGGAAACCTGTGAACAAAACTCAAACTTTTATTTTTGTTTGTTTATTTTTGTGTATGTGTGTGTATATATGTGTTGGGGTGGGGTGGTGGGGGGGGGGGGGGGGTAAGTGGGGGTTCTCTCGCTAATCGCTGACTAGACGGAAAGTGTAATGATAGAAAGACAAAATACGACCAAAAACGATTCA